TGATTTGGATGTTTTGAAATTTCATCTACGTATCTACTATGGCCAAGAAATGGGGGATGTGCTTCATACTAAAGAACAATACAAAACTGATCTCCCACTTTTTACGATTGCATCCTTTGATTATCGATAAGGATTCATTTTAGTTACGTACATATTCGCGTATCACGCGAAGACCTAATTTTCAAGCTAATTTGGTTATAGAAAATGGATATATAGTTTGTCAAGGGCGTAGCCAGGGTCAATAGTACATACGCTAATTTTATATTCACGCGTATGATGTGACCCCTTACCTGTAAAATTTGGTCTTCAAAAATCGCATGATACGCGAGTATATACGGTATATATAACCAACCTATGAGAAAAAGTTACTTAGGAAGTTACTTAAATCCTCTCTAGATTATAGGAATTGATTGCATATACAGTGGTCAAGAAATGGAGGATCAGTTTAATATTACAGAACAATACAAAACTGATCCCTCACTTTCAATTATCTTTCATTTGATTACATATAAGGATGTTTTGGAATTTCATCTACGTATCTACTATGGCCCAGAAATGGGGGATGCATTTAATACTAAAGAACAATAAAAAAAACTGATCCCCCATTTTTTATCTCTTCCTTTGCTTATCTATAAAGATTCCTTTTAGTTATCATATACTCGCGTATCGTGCGACTTTTGAAAACCTAATTTTGAAACTAATTTGAATACAGTAAATGGTTTGGTCAACGGCGTAGCCAGGGCTAGAAATTTAATAATGCTAAATTTATATCATATGTATGATGCGACCCTCTTAAAATTAGCTTCATAATTAGGTCGCAATATACGCGACTATATAGAGTAACCATTCTCGCCTGTACCATATAGACTGATGTATAAAACTGACCAATGTTAAGGCTCAAATGTAATAAAAACTAATAGTTACCTATGAACTCATTGACAAGCAAGAGTCATATCTACCGTAGACTTAGGTATTAACGCCTCCTATATTTGCCAGCAATATTCAAAGAATAGACGAATGACCCAGTTATGTAAGATAGACTGTGGCGAGAAGAATTGCCTAGCTCGACACAATGAACCAACTTTACAAAGCAGCTGACCCCTCAACTGATTCAATATAATATTTCTCCTACTTGTCAATGGAAAACGTCAATCAGGGAAGGCATAATGAGTCACGTTCCTCAGCATCAGTCAAAGAAAACAAAAAAAAAAAAAAACATTAATTCGACCTTCTGATTCTATATTCTGCGCGAATAACCATTACTATAGTGTTGGTAATATTAATACAGTGTAACCCGGATATAAGAGACACGGATATAAGAGAGACCCGGATATAAGAGAGATTTTCTCTGGTCCAAAATTAGAGCCTGTGTTAATGTATATAAAATAGACCAAACCCGGATATATAGAGAAACCCAGATATAAGAGACTTCTCCGGTCCCGACAACTCTCTTATATCCGGGTTACACTATATATATATATATATATATATATATATAAGCAATATATATATATATATATATATATATATATATATATATATAAATATATATATATATATATATATGCAAATATATGTATACAGTGTAACCCGGATATAATCAAAACCCGGATATAAGAGAAACCCGGATATAAGAGAGATTTTCTGTGGTCCAAAATTAGAGCCTTTGTTAATGCATATAAAATAGATTTAAAAACCCGGATATAAGAGAAACTCGGATATAAGAGACTTCTCCGGTCCCGACAACTCTCTTATATCCGGGTTATTTTTTATATATATATATATATATATATATATATATATATATATATATATATATATATATATATATATATATATATATATATATATATATGTGTGTAATATATATACAGTGTAACCCGGATATTTCGGATATAAGAGAAACCCGGATATAAGAGCGATTTTCTCTGGTCCCCATATTAGAGCCTGTGTTAATGTATATAAAATAGACCCAACCCGGATATAAGAGAAACCCGGAAAAAGAGACTTCTTCTCCGGTCCCGACAACTCTGTTATATCCAGGTTACACTTTAGATGTATATATATATATGTACGTATATATATATATATATATATATATATATATATATATATGTATATATATACAATGTAACCGGATATAAAGAAATTAATATATAAGAGATTTTTCTCTGGTTCCCAATTAGAGCCTGTGTTAATGTATATAAAATAGACTCAACCCGGATATAAGAGAAACCCAGATATAAGAGACTTCTTCTGCGGTCCCGACAACTCTCTTTATATCCGGGTTATACTGTAACTAGAAGAAAAAAAATGGTGGCCATAGCTCTGGTCGTCCTTGAGTTAAACGATGACACTCAAATAAAATAAAGACATTAGCTGAATTATCATATGATTTTAGGCATATGTTATTCTAATGTGTCGTCAGATAAGATAGTTCTTTTATTGTGTGACTAGTCTATTCGTAGTTGAAGCTTCCCTAGACGTGTCTTCAAGTAATTAGAATATAATGTTACACTGACAGAAACCGCCAAAAAACGTTAACAATTCACTGTGATCTGAGGAAGTGGCTGTTTATAACGCTGTAAATAAACCAGGAAATTATAGGTCGGCTCTCCATTAGGGGATGTTGAATAAGTGACCTTGCAATGGGCGGTAGCTAATCGCTTTTGCGGGATAGCAATTAATTTGCACCGTTACTCGTAACTGCGGCTATAAAAGCAGCAAATTCTTTGCTCTTCGCCCACAAAGAAGACGATCATTTCAAGCACTTCGTTTCAGTAAGTTTTTGTTTTCTGACTGGATCAACACCTCGTCATGCCCAACTACACACTGCATTATTTCAATGGCCGCGGCCGTGCCGAAATCCTGCGTATGATGTTCGCCGCTGCTGGCGTCCAGTATACAGACAAAAGATACGAATTCTCCGACTGGGAACGCTGCAGAAATGGTAAGTAACAGATATATTAATTGTCTCGTACCAACATTACCTTTTTCTATGCATTCCAACGTACACAGTCGTAAATAGGAATTTTTAGTAATAATAACAATAATAATAATATATATATATATATATAAACACACACACACACATATATATATATATATATATATATATATATATATATATATGTGTGTGTGTATGTTTGAAATATGTATGTATATTTCTGAGATGAATTATTATGTACACTATTTACGTTATTCAGACTATTGTCCTCATCTTTGTTGCCATATTCATCACAACGTTTCGGCCGATGTACAGTCCGGGCTTCTTCGATGCTCGTGAACTTCGATGAAGTTCATTTTTACGTTTTTTTAAATTTTATTTGTAATGGATACCCGTATTGGCTAGATGCTGTGCTTTCATTAATTAAATACATTTAAATCAATTAAATAACAGTACTACTCAAATATTGCTATGAACTAGAAATAAGTTTTGAAGTATGTCGGTATAAAAAATAAAATCTTTTAACATATATATATATATATATATATATATATATATATATATATATATATATATACTTACAACTTATATAGAGGTTGTAATACTTTCAACGATAATGATATGTCACTGTAAATTTTATAGGTTATTACTTTTATTACCTGATGGCACTCCTGTTGATGTCGATGTGTTTTTTGGTGTGTATGTACTGTGTTGTTCGTGTCTGTAATGTGTGTGTGTGTATGTGTGTGTTTTTTTTTATATATATATATATATATATATATATATATATATATATATATATATATATATATATATGTATTTATATAAGCAAATATATGGATATAGATCCGACAGTATGAAGAAAAATACAGAAAAAACAAACAAAAATCTTATGCTGTATTAATGTTAATATAAAGTCCGGCGTCGGACGTTTCGGTCTATTTAAGACCATCTTCAGGGACGATTTCATTTAAACATAATTAACATTAGAACATATAAAAATTTAACACAAAAGACGATGGACATAAGAGCACAACTAATCCAAAACAGATAACTGAAATTTTTATATAAGATCAGCGTTCCGTTTAAATATGATCAAGTCGTCGTCACGAGGGCGATGTTGTATTAACATTAATACAGCATAATTGCATATTAAGATTTTTGTTTGTTTTTTTCTGTATTTTTCTTCATATGTATGTATATATGTATGTATGATTGTATGTATATTTCTGAGATGAAGTATTATGTACACTATTTACGTTATTCAGACTATTGTCCTCATTGTTGCCATATTTATCACAACGTTTCGGCCGATGTACGGTCCGGCCTTCTTCAGGTGATTGCAATGTCGAACTGAACATTTTATTTCGCTCTTCTAGTTCCACGTGCCATGTCTAATGGTTGTCAGTTATCAGGTATCTCCAGTCAATTCCCCTCTCCAAGTTCTCCACTGCCTTAACCGGGTATTGAAGTCACAACTCATTGGGTCCTGTTACTGGATCTAACCAACGTCTTTATCCACTGTGCCACGTGTCCTCAAGGATAAAGGCATAATTAATATCCATTAGACATGGCACGTGGAACTAGAACAGCGAAATAAAGTGTTCAGTTCGAAATTCTGACAACCTGAAGTGCCTGATGTGTGCGTGTGCGCGCGCACACGTGTCTGTGTGTGTGTTTGTGTGTGCGTGTTTTATGGCCCGCGCGGAACAGGGTGGGTGAATAAAATAAAAAGATATGTTCAACCATACATGTAATATATATGCAAATGGAGGTGACGTGGGGGAGTAATGGATAGCGACTGGTACTGAGGAATCGGAGAGAGCCGAGTTCGAATTCCAGTAGAATACATTGTATTCACTTACGTGCTAATATCTTTGGTTATTAGCACGTAATGAAATGAAAGCTATGAATCCTCTTCTCGTCCCCAATATATATATATATATATATATATATATATATATATATATATATATATATATATAGATAGATAGATAGATAGATGAAAAAAAAATACTGAGATAGACAGTAAATAATGAAGGGACAAAGCTGGCTAGAAATAAAAAAAAATACTGAGATCTAGATAGATAGATTGATAGATAGATAGATAGATGATAGAGAGTTTCTCTTCATTATCTATCTGATGGATATGGAGTTAATGAAAAACTGAGATCAAATAGACAGATAGATAAATGGTGAAAAAAGAAAATGAAAGAAATATGGGATAGATAGATAGATAGATGATTGATAGATAATAGGATAGATAAATGAACAAATGGAGAAAGATGATAGATAACTTTAAAGATGATTTTGATAAATGAGACAGATTAATGATAGATAGATAGATGAAAAAGAAGATTAGAAAGAAAATGAACAGAACTAGAATAGATAGATTGAAAAAAGATAGATAGATAGATGAAAAGAAAAACAGAAATTTTAAAATTAATAGATAGATAGATGAAGATATATAGAATATACAGAAAAATAGATGGATAGATGGATATTGATAGATAAATAGATAGATATAGATAGAAAGATGATAAATAGAAAGAAAAGATTATAAATAGATAAATAGATGAATAGACATAGAAGATAGATGGATAGATAGATGATAGATAAATGAAACAGAAACCTGGCTAGATATAGATACAGATAGATAGATAGATAGATAGATAGAAAAGATAGATAGATAGATAGATAGATAATGGATAGATGGAAAAGATAGATGAATAGATGGAAAGAAAAACAAACATTTGGCTAAGATAGATGATAGATATAGATAGATAATGGATGGAGATAGATTGAATAGATGAATAGATAGATGGATGAATAGATGGATGAAAATAGAAGATGAAAATGAACAGACCTGGCTAGCAGATAGATAGATAGATAGATAGATAGATAGATGGATGAATGATGATATGGATGGAGATGAATAAGAAATTTTTAGATTTAGATGTGGATTTGGATCAAATGAATTATTAAACAGACCTGGCTAGATAGATAGATGGATGGATAGATGGATGGATAGATGATAGAAAATGAACAGACCATAGGCGGGAGATAACAAGATAGATAGATAGGATAGATAGATAGATTATTTAATATTTGCAGATAGATAGAAAAGATAGATTAATAATAGACATATTGGATGAGAAAATGAACAGACCTTTTAGATATAAATCTCTAATAAATAACAGATGATAGATAAATGGATAGATAATATTAATAACAGACAGAGATAGATATGGGAATTATGATACTAATAAATATTTGATAGATAAAGATGATTTCATCAGTCAATGGAATTATCGATTCGGATAGATGGAGGAAATTAGATAGGAACCGAGTTCAAGATTAGAAAGATATATGAAGATCGGATAGATAGATAGATTCTATCCATTTTAGTTGATGGATGATAGATGAAATAGATAAATAGATGGATAGAATGATTTAAATCAATACAAAAGATAGATAGATATTGAACAGACACAAATAAATCTGATTGACTACTAAATAAATTGGGAATGAATTATCGATTCAGAGGATATATATCATATTCCAGTTATATATATATATTGATAATATAGGGAAAATGAAAAAATTATATATATATATATATATATGGAATATATATTTTGTTGAAACTTGGATAAGCATGGAATAATAATAACGCAAACAAAATGTACGTTAACAAAATGTATTGAAAAAGGAAAAGGTACAAATATTTACAGTTAGTTTTGGTATATTCTTGGGAAGACTGTTCCTGCATAATGGGTTGACTAAATCGCAGTCGGGCAGAGTCTCTCGATTCGATCTCTTAATCTTCCCCCGTCTTCCGGTACCAACCCATATTTATATGGTCGGTACTCCACTTATGTAAATTAGGTGTATCATACACAAATATATATATATGTATGTGTATATTTACCAGAATGGCGTCTCGCGGTCTTTGACTGCGCACGCCTCCTGTCGAACTCTCTGCGTTGCAGAGAGGAATTTGACGAGGCTTTGCCGAAAAAGGGCAATATTTTCGTCCGGGGAGGTAGACAGGGCCTGAACCCGTCTAATCGACTTCAAAAGGCTATTTTTTTTGGCCGAGCCTACGGGCTCGGAGAAACCCACAATAAAACCGGCCTTGTGCCATATTCGTTTTCAATGGTCCAAAAAAAATGATAAATACCGTATATTTACCACTAATATTATCAATATCTATCTATTCATCTATCTATCTATCTATCTATAGTGGAGAAGAAGAGGATTTATATATATATATATATATATATATATATATATATATATATATATATATATAAATAGATAGATAGATAGATAGATAATGAAGAGACTGAGACCGATAAATAATACAACTGCAATAGATAGATAATAAAACATGACAAATAAATGCCTAAATAGATATATACGTAATAAAGAAACAAAATATATATATATATATATATATATATATATATATATATATATATATATATAGAGAGAGAGAGAGAGATCAAGAGAAAAGAATTAATACCCTTTTATAATTAACTATTTCTTACACATTCAGGAATGGTTGAATCTTAATTTGGAGGTGAACTGGGAAGAACAATGTATAGAAATCGAGTGACCATCAAGATCAATAGCAAGGATTGTCAACAAGGTTTTGCTAATCCTTGTAAAGCAATGCTTACTGGCAGAAATAGCTATACATATGGGGTATTTTTGAATTTCTCTTTTATGTAATTTATTTATATATGGACTGTAATGAATACATTGAGGTCTCCTTGTGAAACTGTTTTAATATTTTATATTTTTAGGATTCACTTGAATTATTTATCCACCTATCTCTCTCTCTCTCTCGCTTTATATATATATATATATATATATATATATATATATATATATATGTTTATCTTTGATTCGTATTTGGTGATTGACGCTGTATTTAATTTTTGGGCGATTGGTCGGGGAGCAAGTAACTGGAATGTGTCATTTTTATCTTCCTTGATCTGACAATAATTCTATTGACGTCATTAACCGAATTCATTTGTTTCTTGTTAAATAGAATAAAACAAAAAATTCACAATCCTTTTATGTTTCGCTTATTGTCTCATCATTTGCATCACTGACAGTATCATTCGTATTCTTCAATTGTTGTATTCAACAGAGAACTTTGAATAATGACCGTTTTTGAAATTGTCGTCTAATACATTTCGAATGTTATCTCATTAATTCTTATTGTTTTGGTCTTGGCAAATGCAATTGTGTAACTGACTTTAAAACAATTATCGCTGACAGATAAAAAAAAAAAAAACCAAACAAACAAATCAATCAACGTCTTTTGTCCGGTTTGGAGTCTGGCTGGTGAATATTAATTTATATATGATGTGTCCTCAAGGATAAAGGCATAACTAATATCCATTAGACATGGCACGTGGAACTAGAACAACGAAATAAAGTGTTCAGTTGGAAATTCCGACCACCTGAAGTGCCTGATGTGTGTGTGCGCGCGCACACGTGTCTCTGTGTGCGTGTGTGTGTGTGAATTAAATAAAAAAGATATGTTCAACCATACATGTAATATATATGTAAATGGATGTGACGTGGGGGAGTAATGGATAGCGACTCGTACTGAGGAATCGGAGAGAGCCGAGTTCGAATTCCAGTAGAATACATTGTATTCACTTACGTGCTAATATCCTTGGTTATTAGCACGTAATGAAATGAAAGCTATGAATCCTCTTCTCGTCCCCACTATATATATATATATATACCGGATTATATATCTTACTGTTCTTTCTTTTTATGTATATATAAATAAAAAAGAAAGAACAGTAATATATCTTACTGTTCTTTCTTTCTTTAAAAAAATTTTTTATATATATATATATATATATATATATATATATATATATATATTATATATATATATATATATATATATATAATATATATATATATATAAAAAGAAAAAACAAGTAAGATATATAATCCAAGTGTTCTTATAGATATTTTTATTTTTACAAAATAGTGCTCAATGTAAATTTACAGAGCATTAATATTATAAATTAATTGATTTAAAATATGTTTTTTTTTTACGCTACACAGTTCTAACCATGAAATAAAAAAAAATGGAAGCTAAAAGCCGATGAATTTATTTTAAAAATCAATTAATTTATAATATATATATATATATATATATATATATATATATATATATATATATATACAGAGAGAGAGAGAGAGAGGGAGAAAGAACATGAAGAGACTGACTGAGATTGGTAGATAGATAAGTAGAGAGATAATGAAGAGACTTAGATAGATAGATAGATAGATAGATAGATAGATAGATAGATAGATAAACAGACAGACAGACAGACAGACAGATAGAGAGGAAATGAACAGACTGGGCTACATAGATAGATAGATAGATAGATAGATGATAATAGATAGATAGATAGATAGATAGATAGATAATAGATAGATAGATGACCAATCTTAAGATAGATAGACAAGAAAAATAGATAAAGCTAGATAGATAGAATGAGATAGATAAATAGATAGATAGATAGATAGATGAACAGACTGGGCTAGATAGATTATTCAAGATAGATAGATTTAATGAACAACTACATAGATAGATTCTTTTGTCCGGTTTGAAATCTAGTTAGTGAATATTAATTTTATGTATGATAACCAGATAAATATTCCCTCTCATATGTTTAAAAAAAATCTGCAATCACCATTATATGTTAGTGAATATTAATTTTATTTATAAATATTCCCTTTTTTTTGCAATCACCATTATTTTTATATTTTTGTATTTGTATATATTTCATTGCACATCACGAATAAGAAATTTGTATATATTTTTGGAATATATTGTTGTGTTGTTAGATCCCCCATAAAAAAGGTGGTATTTTGCTGCATTTTTGAATCGAGTGGTGAAGGTTGGGTTCTTGTAATGTTTGTGTAAATTGTTAGAATGGATGGTCTGTGAATCATACTCTCTCTGAGTAGGATAGTTAAGGACGACTAACCTCACCTTACTCCACATTTCACCTTGTGTTAAAATAATGCATGTTAAATGAACACTTTGGGGATGCCTCAGGCGCCACATAATCATGGCCGACAGACATTTGGCCGACAGACATTTCACCGAAAAAGTACAAGTATAAGTAGTAACATGCTCTACTTTAAGGATTTTAAATATAGTACTATTATAAGGTAGAATAGGACTAATAATTATCACTGAATTTCAAGTGATTAAATTACTAAATTTAAAGTTAAAAGTTTTCTATCAATATTTCTGAGATGAGGTATTATGTACATTACTTACATTATTCGGACTATTGTCCTCATCTTTGTCGTCGCCATATTTATCACAACGTTTTTGCCGTTGTACGCTCCGGCCTTCTTCAGGTGAGCGAAATAAAGGGTTCAGTTCGAAATTCCAACCACCTGAAGAAGGCCGGAGCGTACAACGGCCGAAACGTTGCGATAAATATGGCGACAAAGATAAGGTCCATTTTTCCTTTGGTTTAATTCTCCATCCCCTCCCCTCCCTCGTTAGTTGGTCAGTGATGTTAGTTCTCTGGTGGATGCGGGACGCCTTTCGTTTCGTTTGCGATTTTTGTATTTGTTGTTGTGACTGAATGAGTGTGTCTCTGAATGAGTGTGTGTCTGAGTGAGTGTGTGTCTGAGTGGGTGTTTGTTTGAATGAGTGTGTGTCTGAGTGTGTGTCTGAGTGAGTGTGTGTTTGAATGAGTGTGTGTCTGAGTGAGTGTTATGGGATGAATAATTGATTTTTATATTATTAAAATCCTGCATTAATTTCGTCCACTTAAATGATGTTTTTGCCATATTTTGAGATTTCTGGCGTGGGGCATTACTAACAATATTTCATTTAGTTTCTTGTAAAAAGTTTTGTTTTCACATTGTCAATACCCATTGGGGCTAGTTTAAAATTGTTGTTTTATCCCCCTCACCCTAGAGACAATTTTATTATGTGTGAAAACCATTTTATTTGAAATATTTTTAAACTCCACATCATTTTAGGACGTAGGTGATCATGGCTCTCCATATATTCCTTTTCTTTATTGTCTATGTATTGCTATGTGCCATGACCTTTCAATATGTAGTTGATCATGGCTCTTCAAATCTTTCTTTTCTTTATTATGTGTGAATAGCCATGAATTGTAAATAAGGTAACTAATTAGGACTTTCATAGAGACAATGAGGTATTATGGTGAATGTAGTAAGAAAGACGAGTAAGAATGCGTTGTTTTGGTGGAAGGAATAGTTAGGGTCAGTGTTTATAGATAGCTAAGTTTAACGTTAAGACATGAGAAGACTATCCTTTTCCCATTGCCCAATTTGGCCTTGTGCCACATTTCTGTACATAACAGAATAAATATCACTACGCCAATACCATCTTTTCAAGAGTCAGATCAAACCGAAAATGGAGTATTGGTGTCATTTATGGGCTGGAACCTACCAATCTTCTTCCAGCCTTGGCAGAGTTCAAAAGCGGCCATATAGTTGGATAATTATTTTATGTCCTACAACTACTTGCCCACAGACGAAAAGTCTCGAGCTTCTCCCTAATCTATCGATATTTCCATGGGAAGCTACATTCGTTAGTTCAACCAGTTCAGACTTGTACAGCGATGCACTCTGTGGAATAGCCTCCTGCGATGATGCTTTCTTGATCACTACAAATCAAGCTTCCTCAAGTCTAGGATGAACCGTTAGGCTATATATCCTCAAAAACTTCTAATCTCAACCTTTTACGGCCATAAAACAACCTCATTTGAGAACAATCTACCTTGTGGACATAAGTAAATCTCTCCTATATAAAACGACTACATAGCGTTGCAGGTAGTGATCATGGCTCTCCACGACTTCTTGTCCATTTTTTATTTCTTAATAAGTTTTGTCTGTTTGGTATTCCTCCAATCTACTACTATATACACATACTAGTTAGGTAGGTTTTAAACTGTTTTCTCCTGTCCTTCTCTATTTCAATTTCTCCCTCTCACATGCTGGCAGATCAACGTTGCCAATTTAATACAATGTTGTATAGTCCCTTGGTGGGGGCGGTTTTGGATTGATAGAATCGTTTCCATCTTAGAGCTGCATTCTTCTTTCAGACCAGGTGATGGCTAGTTGTTTTGATTCAAGATGGAAATAAACTTCAACACAGGGATTTTACACATTAGATAATGTATCTCATATTTAACCGAAATGTTATTTCTTAAATAGGGGGAAATACTTTGAAATTTCAAAGTCTACATCGTGAATCACATGAAAATTCAAAGTAATTGGTAGATTTACGCTTTAATTCTTAATCAAAAGAGTTCTATCTATCTATCTATCTATCTATCTATCTATCTATCTATCTATCTATCTCATTCTGCTCATATCTATCTATCTATCTATCTATCTATCTATCTATCTATCTATCCATCTCTTCTATCTAGTCTATCTTATCTATCTATCTATCTATCTATCTATTCATTCTATCTATCTATCTATCTATCTATCTATCTATCTATCTATCTATCTATCCCAGTCTTCTTCATTATCTATCTATCTATCTATCTATCTATCTATCTATCAGTATCTTCATTCAATCTATCTATCTATCTATCTATCTATCTATCTATCTATCTAGTCCAGTCTCTTCATTTAATCTATCTATCTATCTATCTATCTATCTATCTATCTATCTATCTATCTATCTCTTCATCCTAGTCTTTTGTGTATCTATCTATCTATCTATCTATCTATCTATCTATCTATCTATCCCAGTCTCTTCATTCAATATATCTATCTATCTATCTATCTATCTATCTATCTATCTATCTATCTATCTATCTATTTATCTATCTAGTCCAGTCTCTTCATTTTAATCTATCTATCTATCTATCTATCTATCTATCTATCTATCTATCTATCTATCTATCTATCTCATCTATCTATCCAGTATCTATCATATCAATCTATCTATCTATCTATAATATCTATCTATCTATCTATATTATCTATCTATTTATCTATCCCAGTCTCTTCATTTAATCTATCTATCTATCTATCTATCTATCCCAGTCTCTTCATTCTATCTATCTATCTATCTATCTATCTATCTATCTATCTATCTATCTATCCCATCCCTCTCTTCATTCTATCTATCTATCTATCTATCTATCTATCTATCTATCTATCTACTCGACTCTCCCGTCGAATTCGACGTATGAGGTTCAAGCAGATCAGTTTCCAGGAAACCGACAGCCAGACAACAGCACATGAGATTTTGATTATAGTGCTGAAGGTTTCGTGCAGGACCATCCATTATTTTTTGAAGGGCCGATGACAGAGACCTGGTGAACTACGTGCCACCACGTCCCCAAACAATCCTCCGCAGGTTTTGAATTCAGAGTTGTCCTCCTCCTAGACCAGTTGCCATCCAAGGCTATACAACCCAAGGCTATATATATATATATATATATATATATATATATATATATATATATGTATGTATCTGTCTGTCTGTCTCACTTTGTGTGTGAATGTTTACTAGCTCAATATGTTCCGAGTCAGATTAAGTGTTATACATAGACAGTGAACAGATTAAGCTAGCTAGATAGATAGATGGATAGATGGATAGACTGACAGATAATGAAAAATTGCAAGTTATTACCAGTGAAGAGTACTTTTTCTTCATTAAAATTCCCTGTTTTAATTTAGCTAGTTTCTTAACGTCGATGTATACATCTTCTAAATATCCAGTGGTGTTGCTGTCTCATCCCACTGGGGAGCTGTTTCCAGACACGCAAATCAACACGTCTACATTGTTTGACGTGTAAGAACAAACTCTCCGAAAAACCTTTACTATCTGTCATTCCCACGCTAGTTCAGCTAATCAAAATCGACATCCTTTATTTTGTCTTGTATCTAACCCTTAGATCAACCTGAAGCAGTCTGAGCAGATATACACTTCCCCCTAAAAACATAATAGTCTACTAAACTTTTATTCAATTGTGAGTGTCAAATTCTCCCAGCCGCTTTTTTACATTATGTCGCCGTTTATATCTTAACAAATTTCATTTTCTTATGTTTTCCCAGACTTCCCTTGCATGTACCTTCCATGTCTGGAAATGGACGGTGGCATGAGAATGCCTGAGACCATGGCAATTGCCAGGTACTTGGCCCGCGAATACGGTGAGTATTTCTATTATATATAATCTTTGTCAGGCTGAGAACTTTTCAGAGAACACGTTTTCGATTATTTTGGAGTTTTACAAATTGTTTAAATATCACACCCATTCAAGACGTACTTTTATTTAACATAAATTCCTTTTTTTTTATTATCTGTGAATTGCTATGTGTCATGTCATTTCAGGATGTAGTCGATCATGGCTCTCCATATCTTCCTTTTCTTTATTATGTATGAAAAACATTTTATTAGAAATATTTTTAAATGCCACATCATTTCAGAACGTAGGTGATCATGGATATCCATATATCCTTTTTTTTATTATTATTTTCTATGAATTGCTATGTGTCATGACCTTTCAGGATGTAGTTGATCATGGCTCCCCACATCTTCCTCTCCTTTATTATGTGTAAATAGCCATATTTTAAAAGAATTATTTTTAAACGCCATGTCTTTTCAGGACGTAGGGGATCGTGGCTCTCCACAAATTCCTTTTCTTTATTATCTGTGAATAGCCATTTTTTAAGAATTATTTTCAAATGTCATGTAATTTCAAGGTAAAGGTGATTATGGCTCGCCACAGCTTTCGTTTGTTTATCATCTAGGAATTGTCATTGTATTAAAAATATTTTTAAGTGTCATGTCTTTTCAAGACGTAGGTGATCATGACACTCCACAGCTTCTTTTTTTATTATATACTCTTCCTTTCTTTCTTTTCCATGTATCCCCTCTCGTCATATTGATTTCGTATTTTTTTGGTTTTTTCTACAGTTAGATAGAACTCTTCAGCCCGGGAGAGTACCCTAAGAGAAGGGAAACTCTGATTTTAAATCTCCGCTGCCTTGCAGCCATACATAATCACGGGAAAGGCTTCGCGGTTAAGCCCTGAGGAGAAATCCGAAGCCAGAGTGCCTAAGACGCTCTGATGTTCTGCCAAGACCTGCGTCGACGCCTGCGTCAAGATCTATTAGACTCGATGATTCCCTTGGGACAACATCAATAGCCTTGACAGGGGCGACCTTCTGCATGGGCAAACGCTGATCATTCATAAGAGGCAGCTGAGGCATAATTTGTGGTGCAGATCCTTGGTCTTTCAAGATCGACGGATGCCACATATGTTATATGGGAATTACCATTTAAAAAAAGATATTTTTAATGCCATGACATTTCAGAACGTAGGAGATGATGTCTCCTCACAGATTCCGTTTCGTTATTGTCTCTGAATTGCTATTTTATTGAAAATATTTTTAAATGCCATGTCTTTTTAGGACATAGGCGATCATGGCTCTCCACACATTTCTTTATTATCTGTGAATGGCCATGTAATTGAAAATATTTTTTCCAATGCCTTAAAGTGGAGTAATAATATTGAATCAATTGCTAGGTCTGCTGCTAAGACATCTGGTTCACTGTAACATGCCAGGGGATTTTGTTATCGCCAGAATCCCTCTGCGAATGAATCCTACATGGAATATTACCGCCATATCTATTATAGTGTCCCTGCTATATATCTGAAGATAAAAATCAAGAGAGTAATATGCAATGTTATAGGCACTGACCTGGCATCACAGTTTCAGTCAATTTCCCATCGCCGTGACAATGCTTACGTCTATCTTTTTTATAAATATTTCCATTGAAATGTTTCTAGTGTGGTTTCTTCGAGAGAATTGTTGTTATATTTCCCTCTCCCCATAGACAATAAATTGTACATATGGTGATTATTTAGGATTTTCATAGAGACAAGAGGTATTATGGTGAATGTAGTAAGAAAGAATGTGTTGTTTTGGTGTTAGGAATATTGTTTGTATGTTTGGGTCAGTGTTTGTGGCTAGCTGAGTTTAATATTAAGACAGAAGAAGACAGCTCTTTTCCTCACTCCACATTTTTAACCTTGTAACACATTTTTGTTTTAATACGGAAATAAATTTCCCGTCCTTCGACAGCTTAGATGTAAGCGCAGTACTAGATTGGCAAATAGGTCTCATCATTTTAATCTTGAAACAGCTAGATATTACTGCGAGTTCTATTCTAGTAATTTCTTTTCTCGTACTTCTTACCTGTGGAAGTCTATTTCAGTTTCTTGCTTCCCTTACACCTGCGATCTTCAAAGATTTAAATGCAACGTTAGTTGCAATATTCTATCTTCCTGAAAGTTGGTCTTTTATTGCCCTTTCTTCTCACAAGTCTTATCATACTTTCTCACTAACAGTAAAATCTTGCGTCTTAGTGGCATTATCACCTTGCTTGGAAAGAAACGGTTTTAAATTATAAATAATATTAAGCAGCTCAGATAACAAGACAAACAGTTAATTTTGATAATCTATTGAATTTACTTCTGTTTTAATCGACAGGTTTCTATCCCAAGAACAACATGGACATGATGAGGTGTGACTACATCGCTGATTGCTTCTATGAAATCATGCACGATTACATGAGGTACTACCACTGGAAGAACGGACGCTTCAGGGTGAGTCAATTATTTCGAATCTGTTCAGCATTTCATATCTATATTTCAATTCAATATCTATAGAATTAGATATGGAAAGATGCTATAGTGAAATGATCCTTATGACTAAAAGACATTAGCTAAGTAAATAATGACTGCTTCTATGAAATCATGCACGATTACATGGGGTACTTTGACTGGAAAACTGACGCTTAAGGGTGAGTCAGTTATTTCAAATCTTCATATCTACCTACCATAGACATCCATTTAAGACATATACTTAGTCTGATGAAGTGCTGATGGATGAAACGCGTCACAAGTAACCTTTTTCCACTTTGTCATACATTTTACTCTAATACTGTTCTTTACATATATATATATATATATATATATATATATGTATGTACGTATGTATGTATACAAAGGTTGCGATGGATGACTTGTCTAAATGACGCAAAAATTAAAATAAAACTGACATCTCGTTTTAACATATACAGTGTAACCCGGATATAAGAGAGTTGTCGGGACCGAAGAAGAAGTCTCTTATATCCGGGTTTCTCTTATATCAGGGTTTGGTCTATTTTATATACAGTGTAACCCGGATATAAGAGAGTTGTCGGGACCGGAGAAGAAGTCTCTTATATCCGGGTTTCTCTTATATCCGGGTTTGATCTATTTTATATACATTAACACAGGCTCTAATTTGGCACCAGAGAAAATCTCTCTTATATCCGGGTCTCGCTTATATCCGGGTTACACTGTATATTTACCAAAACCACACAAAAATATCTTGAAATACTAAAGAATAAATCTATTCATTAGCTTCAACAAAGACCTTCGGAATCTCCTGCAACTCTTATCAATGATCTCCTTAGTGAATGCTGCCATAATCTTTGTCTTGTTCATTTTTGGTGTTTCAAGGAATTTTTGTTGACTTTCGCTAAACTGCGCCCCACACATAATACTCAAGGTCGTTGCAGTTTATGGAGTTAGGTGGTCAGATGTAAGTGATGATGGGGTCGCAGAAATTTGTGACAGCCATGACTGAGTTCTCCTGCTTCTGTGGCATGATGAAGTGTCCTGTTGCCAGACATAGAGTCTTCCATAAACCACCGTCTTGTCGCTAGGGCAGCACTACCTCCTCAAGACATTTGATTCAGGCCTTCGTATTGAGTCTGATGCCCTTTTGAAAAATGACAGGAGGCATAATGCCACCATCACGAATGATCACCCTAGAAACCTTCGTAATCACCATTAGACTCAACCAACTCTTTCCGAATTTTCTACAGTGTCCTATGATTGATACCAAAATTCTTTGAAATGTTCTTATTGGAAATTCCGGGGAGAACAACAAGTGGTAGAGCACGCCATTTCCAAATTTCTGGCGGGATGAATTACTTTCATGATGCTTTTTTTCATCACCGACAGTGTCCAACTGAGCCTGCTATACTGGGCAGTCGATAAAATCAAAAATATTCAACGTGCATGTAGCCGTAGGTTCTATGCTAATAGATTCTTTTCTCGTAATTCTCGATAGTGTAACTTTCTTCTGGCTCCATGCTTTCCAGCCAACTTTAATCTTCCAAAATTCAAATGCAATATCAATCGCTATCTACTATCCTCCTGATTACTCTTTTCTCTTCCCGTTCATTATTAATATTTCTGTTCCTAATTCTTCCACAGACTGCAACCCCTTGTGTTTTAATAGCGTCATTGCCTTGTTTGCGGTGAAACTGTTTATAAAAACAAAACACCCTTAACGATAAAGAACATTCGTCTTTCAGAGAACTTTCATAAGTGAAAATTTCCTGGCCAGATACATCTCTCTGTGTGACAGGAACGACATATATATATATATATATATATATATATATATATATATATATATATAGCCATGACCACATATGTCCAGAAAAGACATTACATTCAAAAATATTTATAATAAAATGGCTATTCAAAGACAATATAGATAGATAGATAGATATAGATATATTATAAATTAACTGATTTAAAATATGTTCTTTTCGTTACACAGAAATAACCATGTTTCAAAAATGGATTCTAAAAGCTTCAAATTTAATTTTGTAATTAAATTAAAAACATTGGTTCCATTTCATCCTCAGGCGAATTTTGGAGTAATTTATTTTTTAAATTTACTGAGTTTTAAAGGCAACGAAAAATTCATTATTCATTATTTCCAAGGATACAGAGAAATCCAGTCCTTCAGGCAAGGGTTGGTAGCGTGTTCATTTTTATTAACTTTTATTGTGTCAGTTATTAGTTACGTTCAAAAAAGGGTTTATGTTTAGGTAGGGGTAGGGATGTATTTTTCAACGAATTCTGACATCCGTTAAATGCATGTGGTCTGAGGTTTTTTTTAAAAAAATTATTGTTAACGGCAAAAAGTTCTTACGGCATTTTTTCTATTTATATACTTAAAGATTTTGTGGGGGGATTATTCGGTTAGAATACGTTTTATTTAACTACAATTTTAAAATATTTTCACTTTTAATTATTAATAGATTATATTTCTTTTAAAACAAGTAAATGTAGTAGAATTACTTACAGTATATAAAATTATTTTCTCATATCAAGTATAAGTAAGTATATTACCAGGTCACATTTTTTTTTTAATTTCATTTTTAAATATTATTTGAAGCAAAAAATAGCTAATTCATTTCTCTGATCCAGTAAGATTTTATTTTAATATATTAATGCCCTGTAAATTTATATTGAGCACTATTTTGTAAAAATAAAAATATCGATAAGAACACCGGATTATATCTTACTGTTCTTTATATATATATATATATATATATATATATATATATATATAATCGACTCTCCCGTCGCGTTCGACGTATGAGGGTCAGGCCGATAAGTCCCCAGGAAACCGACACCGGCACATGAGATTTGATTATAGTGGTGAAGGCCTCGTGCAGGACCAGCCACACTTTTTGGAGGGACGAATACAGAAACCTAGTGCACCGAATGCATGCCACAAGGTTCCCAAACGACCCTCCGCAGGTTTTGAATTCAGAGTTGTCCTTCTCCTAGACCAGTTGCCATCCAAGGCTATAGAACCCAGTCTGTCCTGCTATTTTACCCATACATACCTTTCCCAAGGGTATTAGCACGTAAGTGAATGTAATGGATTCGACTGGAATTCGAACTCGGCTCTGCGATTCCTCAATCCAAGCCGCTATCCACTGCTCCACCGTGCCTCTCTCTCTCTCTCTCTCTCTCTCTCTATAAATATATATATATATATATATATATATATATATATATATATATATATATATATATTTGGATATATATATATATATATATATATATATATATATATTACTAAAAGTTTGTGATTGTTTGTTTAAGTTAATCTGAAATAAGTGAATACGATTTCAAAATACAGGTTGTTTATACAGTAAGTCTTTTTATTTTAATTTTCTACGAATAGACAATTTTTTTTAATTAAGATATGTTTTTAAGTTAAAGACAGACACAAAGAGATCCCGCTTTGCCGTTTCGTCAGGTTGTTTATAGAGAAATTATTTATTTTTTAGGTTTCTTTAAACAAACAATATTTTAAATATTTAAAAATAAGTTTTGGCACATTTAAAAGATATTTCCAAGTGCATAAAATATTAAAATATCTTTTGGCATATAAAAAAATATTTTTAAGTTAATCTTATTAAAAGTTAATCTGATTAAAGTTCAAGTTTAAACCGGAAGTTCTATTGCTATTAAATATAAACAATCAGTCAAACGTTAAATATGAACTTGTAAGCCAGACTAATGACAGGAACGAATTAAAATATTTAGCTGAATCATAATAAAATTAAGTTTCATTTCAATGGAATGCTAAAATCAACTTCAATCTTTTATAACCTGAACAGCCAGTAACCCAATGTGTCATGGGTAGTCTAGTATAAATATCCGAATATCATTTACCCACCTCCCCACAATATTTGAGTGAGACACAAGGTCGGTTTTAATATGGATTGTCCTTACGGACCAATGGTAAATCTTTTTCAGTATCACCCTAGCGTCTATATTCCCCCTGGTGATTTTACATTAGATCCAATGAGGAAGGTGCTGTTACAGGGTTGGGATCCCCGGGAACAAGCACGTTCTCCATTAATTATTCGTGAATAATAACAAACGCTGCAAAATAAATCTGAGAGATTTTTGAAGTTTTTGAAACTATTGAAAAATTTCAAACCAGTAAGATCTGTGTTTTTTGAGAATCACAATTTAATGGTGAATATTTCTTTTCTTTAAATTCTATTTCTAGTTTGGAAACGATGGCATGATGTGTTCTGACATGGGAAGCTGTGACAGCAATTACGACGTAAGTAAAGAATTTCTTAATCCATAAAAAAACAGAGGTTTCCGATATTTTTTCGTAATATTTGGTTATACACTACAAATGTATGTGTGGGTAGCGTAACGCTTATCAACGCTGAAAATACAAACGGCTACTGGAGAACAATTTCGCACTAATATTAATGCTAAGAGAACATTCGCGAGACATTGTTAAACCAAAAGAACACTGGAAGATATTTGCAAGTTGATATTTATGGGGCACATAAACAGGAAAGAGTACTTGGAAAATTTGATACACACAAGACAGGTAAGAGACACAGAGAAAGCCCACCTAACGAGCTTAAGTGAATAGATATGTTTAGAAGAGAAGTCAAAAAGATAGAATTTATTAAGAGCTACAAAGGAAATTGTAGAGGGCCGTGATCGCCAAAGTCTTGAAGAGATACGGCAAATAGAAAAAGAAGAATGAGTTTGAGTAAATGGATGACGGACGAAGGTTTAGGAGAGATAAGAAAAAGACAAAATTTATTAAGAGCTACAAAGGAGAGGAAATTGTGGAGAGCCATGATCACCAATGTCCTGAAGTTTCACAGCACATAGAAGAAGAAGAATGAGTTTGAGTAAATGGATGACAGACCAAGGTTTAGGAGAGATAAAAAAAGACAAAATTTATTAAGAGCTTAAAAAGGACAGGAAATTGTGGAGAGCCATGATCACCAATGTCCTGAAGTTTCACAGCACATAGAAGAAGAAGAATGAGCTTGAGTAAATGGATGACAGACCAAGGTTTAGGAGAGATAAGAAAAAGACAAAATTTATTAAGATCTACAAAGGAGAGGAAATTGTGGAGAGCCATGATCACCAATGTCCTGAAGTTTCACAGCACATAGAAGAAGAAGAAGAATGAGTTTGAGTAAATGGATGACAGACCAAGGTTTAGGAGAGATAAGAAAAGACAAAAATTTATTAAGAGCTACAAAGGAGAGGAAATTGTGGAAAGCCATGATCACCAATGTCCTGAAGTTTCACAACACATAGAAGAAGAAGAAGAATGAGTTTGAGTAAATGGATGACAGACCAAGGTTTAGGAGAGATAAGAAAAAGACAAAATATATTAAGAGCTACAAAGGAAAAGAAATTGTGGAGAGCCATGATCACCAATGTCCTGAAGTTTCACAGCACATAGAAGAAGAAGAATGAGTTTGAGTAAATGGATGACGGACCAAGGTTTAGGAGAGATAACAAAAAGATAAAATTTATTAAGAGCTACAAAGGACAGGAAATTGTGGAGAGCCATGATTGCCAACGTCCTGAAGTTTCACAGCACATAGAAGAAGAAGAATGAGTTTGAGTAAATGGATGACGGACCAAGGTTTAGAAGAGATAAGAAAAAGACAAAATTTATTAAGATCTACAAAGGAGAGGAAATTGTTTTAGAGCCATGATCACCAATGTCCTGAAGTTTCACAGCACATAGAATAAGAAGAATGAGTTTGAGTAAATGGATGACGGACCAAGGTTTAGGAGAGATAACAAAAAGATAAAATTTATTAAGAGCTACAAAGGACAGGAAATTGTGGAGAGCCATGATTGCCAACGTCCTGAAGAGACACGGCACATAGAAGAAGAATGAACTTGAGCAAATAAATGGCGGAACAAGGTTTAGGAGAGATAGCAAAAGGACAGCATTTAATCAAGGGTTTTAAATGATAGGAAATTGTGGAGAGCCATAATTACCAACGTCCTGAACGGACCCGGCACATAGAAGAAAATGGTAAAATTAACCGTTCCCATACAGGAAACATGAGATATCCATTAAACGAACAACTATAGTTACTATCGGTTGTTATTTCTAAAATATTTTCTGTAAAATCCTTTGGGAGAAAAATAGGCTCCTCAAGTCCGCTGTTATAGATCTAAATACTATTTGTCAATCGTAATCTTCTGTCTTCTTAATTCTTGTTCTTTTATTGTCCTCTCTCCTTAATAGTGTTTTCTTTTTCTCATATTCTCAATTTCATCTTCAAAAATTTAAATGCAATGTCAATCGTTATCTTCTTAATTCATGTTCTTTTATTGTCCTCTTGCCTTAATAGCGTTTTCTTTTTCTCATATTCTAAATTTGATCTTCAAAAATTTAAATGCAATGTCAATCGTTATCTTCTGTTTTCTTAATTCTTTTTTTTTTATTTTCCTCTTCCTAATCACTGTTTTTTTTTGAAAAAAAGATTTCAATTCTCAATTTCATCTTCAAAATTTTGCAATGTAAATCGTTATTTTCTTAATTCATGTTCTTTTAAAAAATTGCCTTAATAGCGTTTTTTTTTCTCATATTCTAAATTTGATCTTTAAAAATTTAAATGCAATGTCAAAATCTTTGTTTTCTTAATTCTTGTTCTTTTATTATTGTCCTCTCTCTTAATAGTGTTTTTCTTTTCTCATATTCTCAATTTCATCTTCAAAAATTTAAATGCAATGTCAATCGTTATCTTCTTAATTCATCTTCTTTTATTGTCCTCTTGCCATTGTGTTTTCTTTTAGTCTCAATTTGATAAAATTCAAAAATTTAAATGCAATGTCAATCGTTATCTTCTTAATTCATGTTCTTTTATTTCCTCTTGTTTTAATAGCGTTAATTTTTCTCATATTCTAAATTTTTCTTCAAAAATTTAAATCAATGTCAATCGTAATCTTCTGTCTTCTTAATTCTTGTTCTTTTATTGTCCTCTCTCCTTAATAGTGTTTTCTTTTTCTCATATTCTCAATTTGATCTTCAAAAATTGAAATGCAATGTCAATCGTTATCTTTCTGTCTTCTTAATTCTTGTTCTTTTATTGTCCTCTCTCCTTAATAGTGTTTTCTTTTTCTCATATTCTTAATTTAATCTTCAAAGATTTAAATGCAATATCAATCGTTATCCTGTCTTAATTCTTGTTCTTTTTCCCTTAAATTTCTGTTCTTTTATTGTTCTCTGTAATAATGTTTTTCCTTTTTCTCACATTCTTTTACACTCAGTCAGCTCTTGTGTCTTAGTGACTTTATTGCCTTGTTTGAAGTGAAATGATTAAAAAAAGTCGTAGCAGATATACTCGTATGTTTACCTTGATTCATGATTTGATACGCTCAGTTGTTATTTATTTTATTTTTTCCTTTGCAATTATAAATTAGTTTTTTTTTCTGCAATTGTACTCGGCAATATAACATGAGTTGTCAGATTTACTCAATTTTCTTTTAGTTTAATTCTTTATTCTAATTTTGCTGTCAAATTATTATGATGTCTCTCCCGATAATGGGTTCTCAATTTGTTTTAATAATATTTCTGTTCAGAAAATTTAGAACTTGGCCCGACGCCATTTTCCAGAATATTTATTAACCTAAATAATTTTTAACACCACGCCATTCTTCACAAATCATTTTCCTCGTAGAATATTATTTTTAAAGAGAAATAATTTAAATGCTGGAAATGTTTCCCAACGAATACGTCCCAGTTCTTGCCTCTTTTTTCTGTTTTGTTCAAAACGTCTTCTGAATGAATTTTAGGCCTGAAGTCACTAGAAATACGGACACTAATTTCAAATTTGCCAGGTGTGACAAAAGACATATGATATTGGTGTATACAAGTAAAGGCAGTGTGCACCTCTGCACATTGACACCATGAAAATAATCCAACCTATAAGAGTCGTTCTCTAACATCTGGTGTTCTTGATTGTTTGGATAATTCATTGGTTTTACGACATGTCAATGTGGTTATTTCGTGCCAAATTTTGAAGTGACGATTTTCTAAACGTAGCTTAGATGTGACACAAGTCCGACAGTATGGGACACCCAGAGAGGATCGAAATAATTTTTTTCTTTCTATACTTAGTATAGATGTGGCACAATAGGGCAGGTCAGTTTTTAAACCATGATAATGCCCTCAGTTTGAAAGTTGGGGTTTGCCATGGTAAATAACAACACAAAATATTCATTTTGAAATCGTTATTTTGTGGAATATTTAAATATTAAGTTTAGGTTCAAAATCATTCCTCTGATCAGCAAAGCCTTATAGGACAGCCTCTTAAAATTCATAATTTACTGAAGCTTTACAAATTTTATATGGACAAGATGCATGGCACAAGCCCACGTTTGCTAAATCATTGTGCCATCTAATAACACCTTCATTTACTTAAAAGGGAAGTTATACTGAACAATTTAGCTAGATTATGATGTAATATGTTATACAATGCAATACTTTTAGAATGCTTTTCAATAAACAATGCAAATTTAAACATTTTGTCTTATAATTTATACCCAGCGGTATTATGGTGTTATATACAATTTTATCTGTTTATTTTTGTTGTTGTTGTTTTGTTTTTTTTAATAATTATGATCTCACAAATCTTATTCACTGAGTAGCCTTTTTCGCAATTTTTTGGCACAATTTTTACTTATCAAATACAGTAAAAAAATGGATATTTTGTTTATGGTGATTCATAATTAGAATTCTAATATTAATATATTGGTATAAAAATGACAATTGGAAAAATCTTAAGTATTTTGGCTGACGCGTTTTGTTTTCCGACTTTATCAAGGCAAACAATGAAAGCGAAATATTATTACACTAAATTTGTAAGTTGGGGGTTTGTCATGATAATTAGATCACTCTTTCATCAAATAAGATCGTCTTTTACTTCAAAGGGAAGTTATACCGAACAATTTAGCTAGATTATGATGTAATATGTTATACAGTGCAATAGTTTTAGAATGATTTTCAATAGACAATGCAAATTTAAAACATTTTTTCTTATAAATTGTGACTAACAATATTATGGTGTTATATACAATTTTATTTAGTTTTTTGTTTTTATTAATTATGATCAAACGGATCTTATGCATTGAATTGACTTTTACAATTTTTTACACAGGTTTACATAGCGAATAAAATGAAAAAAAAAATAAATTGCCTGGTGATTCATAATTAGAATTCTGGTTTGAATATATTTTCAATCCAATGTATCTAATACAAAAAATAACAACTTTATTTGGACTTATTCTTGAAACAGAAAAAAATTAGTTGAGTTAGTTTGTAAGCAAAAATTAGATATTTCTGTACATTTTTTCAGGCAATATTTAAAATGAAATGCTCAAAAATTGATAAGAGCTATGAATCTAGTTTTTGGTGACTGTACTTATCATCTCAACTTGTATCTTTAGTTCCGAATGCAAAAAAAAAAAAAAAAAAATCAACCTGCCTTAGTCGAGAAGGACCGAAAGTTGAGGATCGAACACCCTACTAAGTCGTAACTGATTTAGCGAAACAAGCTTGCTAACCATTACATCACGTCGAAGTGCTAATTTTTGTACAAAGCGTGTCTTCGTTGTGGCACAACGTCGAAAGCATGGAGCACCCAGTGAGTATTGAACGCACTACTCAGTCGTAATTGATCTTGCGAGACAAACTTTTAACCACTCCACCATGTGGAAGTGCTGACTAAGTATATATTACTTTTGGCACAATGGCGAAATTATGGATCTCTCAGTGAGGATCGAACTCAAAACTCAGCCATTAATTCAGGCCGTCGCATTCGACATTTGGTGCCTAACTGTAGACAAGGTCTAAGCTGCTCATAGAAAGGAAACGAAATTTCGTTTTTACTCATGTCCACAAGGCCCAAGCTCTATTTAATATATAGGGTAATTTTTTGAGGTGATGGGGGGATTAATAGATTAGATTACGAGAACATGTCAGATAGATAATGATGGACCCTAAACTTGAATTGGATTAATATTTTCTACAAAGAACCATTCAAATTGGAACACCTTTCTTACCAAAAAATTACGTAAGGAATGGTAATGGTAATATCAGCCGGTTCTATAAAGGGAATTTTCTTCAAAAATTTATTACTGGTAATATTTTTTTATTCCAAAATTACTTGCTGGTAATATTTTTTCTTTCAAAAATGTATTGCTGGGAATATTTTTTTTTCTTTAAAAAAATGTATTTTTGGGAATATTTTTTTTTTCAAAATGTATTGCTGGTAATATTTTTTTTTTTTTAAAAATGTATATTTGGTAATATTTTTTTCCAAAAAAATGTAAATTTGGGAATATTTTTTCTTTCAACAGTGTATCACTGGTAATATTTTTTCCTTCAAAAATGTATTGCTGGTAATATTTTTTCCTTCAAAAATGTATTGCTGGGAATATTTTTTCTTTCAAAAATGTATTGCTGGGAATATTTTTTCTTTCAAAAATGTATTGCTGGTAATATTTTTTCTTTCAAAAATGTATTGCTGGAATATTTTTTCTTTCAAAAATGTATTGCTGGGAATATTTTTTCTTTCAACAGTGTATTACTGGTAATATTTTTTCCTTCAAAAATGTATTGCTGGTAATATTTTTTCCTTCAAAAATGTATTGCTGGGAATATTTTTTCTTTCAAAAATGTATTGCTGGGAATATTTTTTCTTTCAAAAATGTATTGCTGGTAATATTTTTTCTTTCAAAAATGTATTGCTGGTAATATTTTTTCTTTCAAAAATGTATTGCTGGTAAATATTTTTTTTCAAAAAATGTATTACTGGTAATATTTTTTTTTCAAAAATGTATTATTGGTAATATTTTTCCTTCAAAAATGTATATTTGGGAATATTTTTTTTTTCAAAATGTATTGCTGGTAATATTTTTTTTTCAAAAATGTATTTTTGGTAATATTTTTTCTTTCAAAAATGTATTGCTAGGAATATTTTTTCTTTCAAAAATGTATTGCTGGGAATATTTTTTCTTTCAACAGCGTATTACTGGTAATATTTTTTCCTTCAAAAATGTATTGCTGGTAATATTTTTTCTTTCAAAAATGTATTGCTGGTAATATTTTTTCTTTCAAAAATGTATTGCTGGTAATATTTTTTCTTTCAAAAATGTATTGCTGGGAATATTTTTTCTTTCAACAGTGTATTACTGGTAATATTTTTTCCTTCAAAAATGTATTGCTGGTAATATTTTTTCCTTCAAAAATGTATTGCTGGGAATATTTTTTCTTTCAAAAATGTATTGCTGGGAATATTTTTTCTTTCAAAAATGTATTGGTAATATTTTTTTCTTAAAAAAATGTATTGTTGGGAATATTTTTCTTTCAACATGTATCACTGGTAATATTTTTTCCTTCAAAATGTATTGTTGGTAATATTTTTTTCCTTCAAAAATGTATTGCTGGGAAATTTTTTTCTTTCAAAAATGTATTGCTGGGAATATTTTTTTTCTTTCAAAAATGTATTGTTTTTTAATATTTTTTTTTAAAAAAATGTATTGCTGGTAATATTTTTTTTTAAAAAAAAATGTATTGCTGGTAATATTTTTTCTTCAAAAAATGTATTGCTGGGAATATTTTTTCTTTCAACAGTGTATTACTGGTAATATTTTTTCCTTCAAAAATGTATTGCTGGTAATATTTTTTCCTTCAAAAATGTATTGCTGGGAATATTTTTTCTTTCAAAAATGTATTGCTGGTAATATTTTTTCTTTCAAAAATGTATTGCTGGTAATATTTTTTTCTTTCAAAAATGTATTGCTGGAATATTTTTCTTTTCAAAAAATGTATTGCTGGTAATAATTTTTTCTTTTCAAAAGCGTATTACTGGTAATATTTTTCCTTCAAAAATGTATTGCTGGTAATATTTTTTCTTTCAAAAATGTATTGCTGGTAATATTTTCTTCAAAAATATTTCAAAAATGTATTGCTGGGAATATTTTTTTTTCATAAATGTATTGCTGGGAATATTTTTTCTTTCAAAAATGTATTACTGGTAATATTTTTTTCCTTCAAAAATGTATTGCTGGTAATTTTTTTTTCCTTCAAAAATGTATTGCTGGGAATATTTTTTTTTCAAAATGTATTGCTGGGAATATTTTTTTTTCAAAAATGTATTGCTGGTAATAATTTTTTTTCAAAAAATGTATTGCTGGTAATATTTTTTCTTTCAAAAATGTATTGTTGGTAATATTTTTTCTTTCAAAAAAATGTATTGCTGGGAATTTTTTTTCTTTCAACAATGTGTATTACTGGTAATTTTTTTTTCAAAAAATGTATTGCTGGTAATATTTTTTTTCAAAATGTATTGCTGGTAAATTTTTTTCTTTCAAAAAATGTATTGCTGGTAATATTTTTTCTTTCAAAAATGTATTGCTGGTAATTTTTTTTCCAAAATATATTATTGGTGGGAATATTTTTATTTTCAACAATTTATTAACTGGTAATATTTTTTTCCTTCAAAAATGTATTGCTGGTAATATTTTTTTTTCAAAAATATTTTTGCTGGGAATATTTTTTTTTTATTCAAAAATGTATTGCTGGTAATATTTTTTCTTTCAAAAAATGTATTTTGGTAATATTTTTTTCTTCAAAAATGTATTGCTGGAATATTTTTTTTCTTTCAAAAATGTATTGAATTGGAATATTTTTAATTTTTCAAAGCGTATTTCAAAATAATATTTTCCTTCAAAAAATATATTTGGTAATATTTTTTTCAAAATGTATTGCTGGTAATATTTTTAAAAAAATGTATTGTTGTTAAATATTTTTTTTTCAAAAAATATTGCTAATCTGGAATATTTTTAAAAAAAAAATGTATTATTCAAAAAATTTTTCTTCAAAAATATATTGCTGCTAATAATTTTTATAAAAAATATTTGGTATTAAAAACCTATTTTACACTTTTATATATGTTTTGACCCCAAAAAATATATGTTAGTATATTATGTTTTCAATAATAATGTATATCTGGTTATAATTATTTACAAAAATGTATTGCTGATAATATTTTTTTCCTTCAAAAATCTATTGTTGGTAATAATTTTTCCTCAAAAACTTCGTTGCTAGTATTTAAACCTATTTTACATTTTCAAAGTACATTATTTTGGGCGTTAACTATTTTCCCATAGTTGGGACAATAACAGATGCTACGACCCCAGGACAGAGGACCTGGGAACACCGGCAATTAAGAGGTGGTTTCACGCACTTAAAAACATTCTAATCAGAAGCCTTGCTGTTGGACGTAGTTCATCGTCTTAACCAGGACGTTTTACACTTGTGCATGGTAAAAAGGCTTAACAGTGTAATATGTTTTTCTTTTTCAGAACTATATGCAATGGAGATACATGAACACCTTCAACAGAATTATGCCCTTCATGGAGAGGACTCTGTGCATGCGCAATAGTGGAAGCAACTTCTTCATGGGTGACATGGTAAGCAAATTAAACCTATGTTCATCTTTAAAATTTAAATTACTCTATGTCAGAAAAAAAAGATTCTGAATAATTTTTATCAATTCAAATTTACGCAACTAATTTTGCTAAATTCCCGTGTTCCCTCGTTTATTGGAACCAATTTAATCTCACTGAAGATGACGTAATTTAGAACGGTTAAACTGAATTTTTACGTCTGTTTGATTTTTTTATATACTTTTCAATATACAATCCCCTATATCGGATAAGGGTGTATAAAACATTAACGAAATTCTTCAAATCGAGTGAAGTAACATTTAAAAGTACTCGGAAAAAAATCAAAATCAAAAATAAATAAAATGGAACTTTGCCGATTATATAATTCAACTAATTATGAAATCTAAAACTTGTCAATATTATAATACTATTGTTTCTGTCCCTAATTGTTATATATATATATATATATATATATATATATATATATATATATATATATATATATATATATATATATATATATAAAATTATGACATAAATATGTTATAAAATCACTATAAAAATATCCGGTGTCTTATCAAGTGATAATGTTGAATGGAAAATAAATGGTTTTAAAAGTTTTAAAGTAATTAACGATCCTTCGCAAGGAGAAAACCTTGTTACAAAAGCTAGAATGACCAATCAAAATACAAGTATAGGAAAATTCAAAAAACTACGAAGTTATGTTATAATAGCTATTCAGATCTTTAAAATACGGGTAATATTAAAAAAGAATTTATTCTAACCAATAATTATTAAATTATATGATAAAATTTGATATTAAAATTAAAAAAGTAAAAATTACCAATTTTAAAATCCAAATGTAATCATTATTAAGTTCAAATGATGATGTTGATGGTATATATATATATATATATATATATATATATATATATATATATATATATATATATATATATATATATATATATTTATAATTGTTAGTGATTATTCCAAAGAAGACATTAATCCAAAGAGAGTTCAATGTAAACAACAGATCAATATAATAAGTACAGATGATCCTTAAAAATCCATTCGGTTATAATTTATTTCGTTAATATATACAAATATTCATCTCTTCAGGCCGAAGTTTGTTTTTTTTTTATTGTAATAACTTTTTTTTATTATAAAAAGTTCGGTCTGAAGAAATAAATATTCGAATATATTAATGAAAGAAATTATAACCGAATGGATTTTTAAAGATCGCCTATATATATATATATATATATATATAAGTGAACATTGGAGTCAACACTCAGAGGTGACAGGCTATTTCATGCTAGACGCAATCGTCAGGCCACGTGTGTTGTTTTTTCTCTAGACTATTTATATATACTGTTCAGTGGTGCATTGTAAGTCCATTATGACGATTATTTTGGTGGGAGTGGTTTGTTTATTTATTTAGGTCAATTTATGTTAAGTGTCAGTATTGACGATTGCGTCTTGCCTGTCGCCTCTGAGTGTTGACTTCAATGTTCCCTTTCATATTTACATACGCTCTATCTCTGATATTGAGCAGTTTATCCTATAAATATAGCACACATTAAAAGCTATATATATATATATATATATATATATATATATATATATATATATATATATATATCAGTTAACCTTAATCAAGGCAGTAAAGCCCACTATGACGCAAGGGGATACTGTGTGTAAGTGAATATGAGAAGAAAAAACACTAGTAAGGAGAAAAAACAATAAACGAATATGAATTCAGAATACAACGATTTACACTGCATTTAATTATTTGAAGATCAAAGTTAACTGTGAAGTAAAAATCCCAAAGTAATTGTTATATCGAGATAAGTCTGCTGACTACTACACCACGTCCAGGTGCCATTTCAGCGTAGATGATGTGATGTGACATGATGTTCTACAGTTGCATCGAGAACATGTACCGACAGAATTAGTCGATCTTCTGTAGCTAATCCCAGTTTTTACTCGCCTTGTTTCTACATTTGCACTGTCCAGCCCAGGAAGGTTTCTGAAGGTCATCCTGATCGACAAACACCTGATGAAGTTTGGAGAGAACAACGATCGAAATTTTATGATAATAACTACTAAAATTAGAAAAATAGTCCGCATGTAACTAATATTTTTCATAAAATACATCTATTGGATGCTTTAGTACACACCATCAGTGATGTTTTCAGTTGAGGCTTATCATACGCCATCTCCACGTTGACCCAGACGATACTGATCGAGTATCGGCTTGTATACCTTTCGTTAGATAAAATTTTTCCATCGTCCCAACTACACACCATGTGCCTACTCTTAGCAGTTTATTGTCCTATTCTAGATGACTTCCGGTTCACTGACAATGTGCGCTATTCCATAAAAACGGAAGCAAATGCAGCCACGATTTCTATCTGATCAGGAATATGGTGGCGTGCTTGTCTTGAACAAAAAATAATTCACCCTGGAAGAATTCTAATGCACAGTTAATTTCTAAGCGAAGATTAGATGTGGCACAAGACCGAAAATATGGAATACCCAGTTAGAGTCGAACTCACTATTCTGCCGTAATGGTTCTAGCTAGAAAAGCTTGTTAATCATTGCACCACGTCTAAATGTCCAGTTGGTTATTTTTTAAGCGCATCTTAAGTGTGGCGCAAGGCGGAAAGTGTGGAGCACCCAGTGAGAATCAAACTAACTACCCCGTTGTAATTGCTCTAGCAAGACAAGCTTATTAACCATTATGCCCTCGTCGAACACCGCACCCCCAAATCTAAAGCATACAGTGGAAGCATTTCATATATCGACACTGATCCATCCGCTAAATGTGTTTTAATTTTAACATTTAGACACGTTACCGTAGTACAAGGCCAAAAGGGAAATCGGAGAAATGCTGGTCAACACTAACTATCCTACATCTAGCTAATCTAACTCCCAACTCAGTCATTCTAACAATTTCTTCAATCCCCACAAAAACCAATTATTCTTCATTCGATCCGACATCCATTACATATTCGCTAGGGTCCAATTAATACACTTCAACCTTCAAATATGTGTTATGGTCCGGTTCCTTGTACTACGGTGATAGTCCAAGGTAGAACCAATAAAGAAGAACTCGAATACGGATATGGAATAACAAAGATATATTACAAACAGGAATATATACAGAGAAGTAGAAAGTGTTAGTACGAACAATCAGGTTTAGTAGTAATTATCTGAACGCGACTCTGTTTAGGGTCTGTCTGACTCGACTCAATTTGACTCGACTTTATCGACTATTGTTATGGTCGGGTTCCTCCAGACCACAGGGTGAAGTCAAAAGGTAGAACCAATAAATAATACGGATATGGAATAGTCCAGATATATTACAAACAGGAATATATACAGAACACAATGGAAAAAATTGTTAGTACGAACAATCAGGTTTAGTAGCCAGCAATATGGTCTGTCTGAAAAAAAAATGAAATTAAAACAACATAAACGAAGAATCAAAACCACGGACATTTTCAGACTAGACAATAGAAATAAAACAGACTAAACGACCCATAATGACAATCACTAAATAAACCAAGGGCATCATGTGGCACAAAACCGGTTTTAAGTGAGCACTCCGAGTAAAAATATTCGGCCAAAAATATGCCATTTGAACCCATATAACCAATGGAAAGGGTCAGTTTACCTCTCCGAAAGACACCGCCGTTCGGCGTAGCCTCGGCGAGGTTCCTATATAAAAGGCAAAGAGTTCAACCGATCAGCCGATCTGCCGGTCGCCCTACGACTGAACTCCCTGCTTCCTCTTCAGGCACCAGTATTTACAACGTATGGAATAGTCCATTATGTTATAATGGGGAAAAAGGATCCCATCAAATATGGATATTCATATATTTAAGATTAAAATAATATTACAAAACATAAAATAAAAATACATAGGCGTATAACGGGGACGAGTTTTTAATAGATTATAATAAACTGCAATGATGAACCAGAAAAAAAATGGAAAACAGGTTTCATGGAGAAACCTTCCACAGTTAGGATTTAAAATAGAAACTGATCAAATTTAAAAATAGTAACCTTAGATAAACCCATTCCTAAAAAATTTACAAGTTACCTGAAGAGTCGTTGCAATACCTGCTGGTAAATAAAACGTCACCAATGTATTCAAACATTTTCAAATATCCTCAAACAAAAGGCTATCAACAAACAAAACAAAATAAAATATTGTTTTGTAGATCAAATCAGAATACAAAGAAAATGCATTTTTATTTTTGTCGAAATATATTTTAGTTTTATGAAATAAACATTTTGCAAAATATTTTTAAAAATAAGTCAAAAAACATAGACTAATCACAACACTTCGTTTTTAAAAAAAAAAAAATAAAAATACAATTTTTTTTATGGTAACATTATATCGGGAAAAAAGGATAAAACAATAAAAATGCAAAATAAATACAATAATCGCACAATATACAAATCAATAAAACAGAACAACAATTACAAATTGTCAAAATAAAACCATTTTCTCAACCCACAAATGCCTTACCAACAACCTAATATATAAAGCGTATTAACAAGTTCCAAAGGTAAAATCAAAAAAATAAAGGGACATTGGGAAAAAAAAAAAAAAGATTTCAAAAGATAACCAAAGTATTTAAAACAGAAAAAAAAAAAAACAACACAAAACGAAGGAAAAATACATATGGATAGAAACAAAATATTTATCCTAAGATTAAATAGGAAATTTTAAAATAAAAAAAAAAAGAAGAGTGCCAAGAAGCAACACCAGGGTTCTAAATTGTGCGGAGCAAAAATTAAAAATCATCAAAGAGGAAAAAACAAATTATTGAACAAGAAGAATAAGGCATATATATGAACCAACAAATTTTGAATTTCAATAGCTGGAGGTTATACACTATGGGGGAAGAAAAACAAAATTCAACGGGAGTTCGTCAGAGCTACACCGCATAGAAATGAAAAAAACATAGAAAAAGACTTCACATTTAACATCGACAAAGCAATAACCA